AGCGGGTCCCAGTGGAATCAGTGTTAAGGAAGAAAAAGTCCACAAAGCGGATGCTAACGTGGTGAACAGTGACAACGTGAAGTGTTTTTTTTGTAAACAACCTGGCCATTACAAGAGAAATTGTCGCAAGTTGGCCGCATTGAAGAACAAGGACAGTTCGGATGAATCGAGCAAGAAGTCGAGTTCCGGTCAGCAGGCTAAAAAGGTGCAAGCGGAAAATGCACAGCAATCGAAACCAGTGGTAGCAGAAGATTCGTTCTGTGGTGCCGTGTGTTTTGTTGCGGGTGGTGCTATTCCGGGAGCATGGACAATCGACAGCGGATGTACTTGTCATATGACAAATGATCGCGGGTTTTTCGTTGAATTCAAGAGCGGTGTTGTTGTTGATGTTACTTTGGCTGACGGTACAAAAACGAAGTCAAGCGGTATCGGTAGTGGAAACGTTATCGGTGTGAACGCTAATGGCCAGCGCGTTGTGATTACGTTGGAGCGAGTGCTCTATGTCCCCAATTTGGAGGGAGGACTGGTTTCGGTGCGGAAATTGGCCGAAAAGGGATTCACGGTTGTGTTCAATGTGAATGGTTGTGAAATCCAAGACTCTGACGATAAGGTTGTCGCAGTGGGTGAACTGGTTGGCTGCCAATACAAGCTGAAGATTGGTGAGCAGTGTATGGCTGTGAAAGGTTGTCATACGGATCTGTGCCAACATACGTGGCACCGCCGATTTGGTCACCGCGAAGTGAACGTGGTGAATGTCATCACCTTGAAAGGACTGGCCAGCGGATTCGAGGTCAAGGACTGCGGAGAGCGTATAGTCTGTGAGTGCTGCATCAAAGGTAAGTTAGCACGAAAACCTTTTCCTTCGTTAGGTGAGCGCAGGTCGACGCAGCCATTGGATCTGATACACACAGATTTGTGCGGACCAATGGAAAATGCGACACCGGGTGGGAATAAATATTTTATTACCCTGATCGACGACTACAGTCGTTTCTGCGCGGTGTTTCTCCTTACGTCGAAGAGCGAGGCAGAGCACAAGATTCGGGAATACGTTCGGTGGACCGAAAACGTGTTCGGGCGGAAACCTAAGGTGATTAGGTCCGATGGAGGAGGCGAGTATATCGGCGAGGCTTTACAGCAGTTTTACAAAGCCGAGGGCATCGTTTCGCAGTATACCACTCCGTATACACCACAGCAGAATGGTGTAGCGGAACGGAAGAACCGCGCACTGCAGGAGATGGCCAACTGTATGCTGTTGGATGCAGGGCTGCCCAAATGTTATTGGGGTGAGGCCGTGCTTACGGCGAACTTCGTCCAGAATCGGTTGCCATCGCGAGTTGTGGATAAAACGCCTTACGAGCTTTGGACAGGAAAAGTACCGGATTTGGCTGAACTTAAAGTGTTTGGGTGCGAAGCCTATGTGCACGTGCCCGACCAAAAACGAAAGAAATTCGACCCGAAAGCTAAGAAGCTAGTATTTGTCGGCTACTCAAGTCAGCACAAAGGCTATCGCTTTCTTGACCTCACAACGAATCGCATCACTATAAGCCGTGACGCGCGCTTTCTGGAGCTGGGAAATGGCTCAGAACAGCCGGAGGAGGAGCCAGTTCCTTCGGAGATTCCTGTTGAGCAGAGTGGTGATAGTGTGAGTGATTGTGAAGAAGAAGTGATAATCGAGGATCGTGGACGACGTCCAGAAGTGCGTGACGAACAGGAACAGTCTGAGTACGATGATGCTAGTGAAATGAACGATAGTGATTTCCTGGGCTTCGAACCGGAGGTTCCAGAAGAACAACCAGTGTTGAACAGAGCGAATCGGCGCAATCGGGGAGTTTTGCCAGGACGTTACGATGACTTTGTAGTGGGGCAAGTGACTGTAGATGAAGAGCCCGAAGATTATAGAGAAGCAGTACTAGTGCCTGCTTGGAAAAGTGCCATGGACGCGGAAATTGCGGCACACAATGCGAATAAGACATGGGAGTTGGTGCAGCTACCCCATGGGAAGAAAGTGATTGGAGTGAAGTGGGTCTTTAAGCTAAAGCGGGATGAAACGGGGACCATAGTCAAGCATAAGGCCCGTATTGTCGCTAAGGGATATACTCAGCTGTTTGGGATTGATTTCACCGAAGTATACGCTCCGGTTACTCGACAGGCGACGCTACGTGTGCTGCTGGCGGTGGCTAGTAAGGAAGGCTTACTGCTGAAGCAATATGATTTCAAGACAGCGTACCTTAACGGAACCGTTGATGAGGAATTGTATATGTCTCAGCCGCCCGGATTCTGCGCCGAAGGGAAGGAGGAAATGGTTTGCAGATTGCGTAAGAGCATCTATGGCTTGCGTCAGTCGGCCAGATGTTGGAATAAGACATTACATGCAGTGCTGCTGGACCTGAAGTTCAAGGCTTGTGAATCTGACCCGTGCCTCTACGTTCGCCGTGGTCGGAGTGTCGTCTATCTCGTTGTGTACGTTGACGACCTGATTATTGGCAGTGTTGATGAGAAAGAGATTGATGAGGTATACAGGAATCTTCGTGACAAGTTCGAAGTGACATCCCTTGGTCAGCTTCGTCATTTTCTCGGGTATGAGATCGGAAGAGAAGGTGGTTGTTACTCCTTGCGGCTGACGCCGTATATAGAGAGCGTACTCCGGAAGTTCAAGATGGAGAACTCTCATGCGGTGAAGACACCAATGGAGCTCGGATATACAGCAGAGAACGAAGAGACATTTTATCCGTGAGTTGTGCGAACAGAAGACCGTAAATTTAGTGTATTGCCCAAGTGAAGAGATGGCCGCCGACGCTCTTACTAAACCAGTCGGTCCGGCCAAACTGGATATGTTCTTGACGAAGCTAGGACTGAAGAAGTGATTAGGGCGGTACTCATCCAGGAGGAGTGTTGGGAATGGATGAGCACCTTGATATATAGCCACCTTGGCATAAGAGAAAACCAATTTGATTACTGGCTACACTGTATTTGATCCTTTTGACGTTTTGTATCATTCCATAATAAATCAGTTACTTTCACACACGCGTTTCTAGTTTTTCTCCCCGAAAGTATCCGCGGTTTCTTTTGTCTGCTCTCTGGTGTTCCCTTTGTTCGTTTCCCGGTGATTCCGTGCGACTCTGTTGGTGCGTGCAGGTCCACATACAGAACCCTCATAAAACCAAAATTGTTACTTGGGTAGTACTGTCATATTAATGGCCCTTCGCTCATTTTCAACTTCTATTAAATTTTCTTACAGCCGTACTATAGCGGAACCACAGACAAACAGACATAACACTCGCAAGTTGTTCATCGAACAAGCATTTAACGGTCAATTCAAAAGTATCATAGTTGGTAGTACCACCACCTGTGGCGCGCATAGTCAATTCCCTTGCGTTTGACGTTTTCACACTACCGCCATCTGTTCAGCGTACTACCCACCACAGTGTACTCAACAGATGGCGGTAATGTTTTAGCGACGATGTTTTACATTGAGAAATATTCAATGTGTTATGTCTGTTTGTCTGTGGCGGAACTATCTACCTACCCTCTTCAGACTATCCTCTAGCTAACAATTATTATAAATTTATAAATTATCACACTAAAGCTTCATGTTAGATAGCATTTCCAACCAACTCTGAATGTTTTTGTTGGCTCTTTTACTGCCTAGTCCTTTACAGTTTGGTACGTAAGGTCTGGATAGAGCAATGAATTGCTTAGAGCAGTGCCTTCACACTCTGCTCAAGCAGTCAATAATTTTACGCTCTGATTCTGAGATGATTCAAGCAAATTCTACAGAAAATACTGAACAAATCCTGTAAAGATAAGGGTATCAAGCTGATTCCAACAAATAATTTATTTCGAGCTATTGAACAAAAAGAACGATCCAAGATCCAGGATTTGTATAATACATAAAAATTTGTCTAACGTGGCACTGTTGTCACCAAATAAAATAATGTGCTGTGGCATGTCAAATTATGAATTAAAAACAGGAATGCTATGCAAAATTGCATCGGGTGTTTTGCCACGAGGTGTATTTTGGGATGTTTTCCCCTACGTTAGTCTTCATCTATGTGATTCCTAATCTTCTATTCGTTGTTCTCTAGTTTGAAGTGGTTGAGGCTAGCGTGCTGATTCATGGTCAATATAGGTATCATTTCTTGATTTTTTGGCTAATGGGATGTTTACATCTGTGCTGGTGTGCTAGCGCTAGTGTACTAGAACTGTACTAAAAAGTAGTCAGCATAATGTCAATTAGCATCTACCAGCATTAGCTTTCAGGAGCGATTGAAATTCGTGATAGTTAGTTGAGCTGGCTGAGCTAGTGAATACCATATGGGCTATTTACACAAATGCTAGTTCACAAACTCAACCAGCACAACTAACTAGCACAAATTTCAGTTGTTCCTGAAATCTCATGCTGGTTGATGCTGACGCTCTATTTACATTATGCTGGCTACCTACTACTACATTTCTAGTACACTAGCGCTAGCAAATCAGCACAGATGTAAATATCACAATAAGGAATCCGATTTTGACTGACTAAGGGGCTGAATGGTGTTCTAAAACCAAATACTTCATAATGTCTCAATAGTAATACAATAGATCAAATTACTGGTCGCAGTGGTTTTATGTCCCGAACAGAAAAAATAAACTTGTCTGCCAAAAATAACCGCGATTAAATAACAGTTTCATTAAACAGTTTTCAATCAGCCCGAAGGAGTAAATGAAATGATTCGTGTGAATTATTTGCAAAATCATGGGGCATTTTGAACCGGTCTCAGAAATTTCCCTCCGTGCTGCCAATTGAATTTGTTTCACCTTGTAACATCACATCGTACAAACCACTGAACGTACTGTTGAAGGCGACGCAATATTATACCACCCCACGTTCCCTTCCACCCCTCAATTTAATATAGATATCTATATGTAGGAGAAATCAGTTCAAAGCAGCGTAAACACAGACCGTCATTACTACTATAATGCAATTGTTCTCGGAGAAAAACTGTGACAAAACTTACATTCGCTGTTTTGTTGTGTAAACACTCCGTCACACCTGCCTTATGGTTGTCTTTTAGTGCTGTGGCAAATACTACACTGCACTTCGCGCAACGGCAGTAAGCTGTGTAACAATATTTTCCCTTGTCACCCAACCAACGATGTTTTAGCAATAGTATTTTTTATTGTCCACTTCTTCCACCTTTCGATGCACTTAACGTCGCAACTTGTACACACTATTGAATCGCATCCACATCCACTCTTTTCGGCTGGTCGCGGAGGTTTATCATCAGCAGCACTGTCGTAACCGGTTTCCGGCAAAATTCATTATCTTCCACATGTGAAGCAACTTACAACTTTCGAATCACACTTCTTCCTTTCGGTTATTGATACGATTGACAAATATTCATTTCACATGAAAAACATTACAGATTCTTCTCCTTCCGGCGGCGCGCGATTCAACAACAAACAATTAGATCCGTTCAAACGACAAATAAGCCTCTCAACTGTATTCACCTTTTTTTCCACCTGACTCCAAACACGCAAACAAAGTCCATATGTGGCTCCACGAGCTAGAAGCACTTCCTCAGAACGTCGTCATCATCGCACTTAGAACGTTCTATCCAAATGGTTCGCCCTTCGCGTGGATATCTATAATGATGATCAGAACGCAGCACTACTAAACAGCATGAAATGCAAACACACGCCTATCTACGACGGACGGTGACAACAAGCTGCTGCTGCTTCAACAACACAACTAGATATCGAAACAAATCGCTCGCCTCGATAAAAAAAAATACACGTTTAAAACCCGAACCGAACGGACCGAGTGCTCTTGAATGACTAATCGACAGGGCGGTGAAGCTTTTTTGGATACCTATCTCGCCCATCACCCACTACCACCACCTAACTGTGGAAAGCACAGCAGGCTGCAGCAGTGCTCTTTTCCGCCTGTGAATGTGTGCGCGTGCAAGAGTCGAGTGCCGGTTGGTGGTGGTAGTGTGTGGAAAACCGGCTCGTGGAAAGCTTTCTTTGTGTGCAGAAGAACATTAGCATCAGCATCAGCAGTCACGACACACGATATGGCGGTGGATGCTTGTGGTGGTATGTTGCTTTGGCGGGTAATGTTTCGCAGTAGAATAGTGGGCCAACAAAACAACCGACGAACATCGGCGACGGCGACTCACCTCACCACAGCTCAGTTCTCGATGTCCATGCAGTTTGATTTGCATTGCATCTGCTTAGGGGATAGGGTTGCTCTTAGAGCATGAATAAACAAAACTAGCATTTCGCTTGCTTTTAATAAAAGTTCAAAGACTTTATCAATAGCTCAAACAACTGCCAACCCTGGGTAACTCTCTATCTCCTTTCTTGTATGAACTGTTCATGGCTAAGCTAGAGAGCTGTATTATTTTGAATTCTGCTCAAAATTTGAATGGATTTTTTCTCGAAATTTCGTCTTAGTCACACCCAACCGGAAAATATAAGATTCTATTACAGAATTGCATGAAAGTACGCAGAATTTGCAAAGTTTCGTTACATGAACAGATTCTGTAATGTGATCACCGGAAGGTTTTTAAAATAATGTTGTAATTTTTATGTTAGCTTATTTATCGAATACTGGCTTTTTCCCTAATTGCATTGCATTTAGAAAATCATCTCGTAAAGGTTTTATACACAAATATGTAATCTGAAGGAACTTGCTTGTATGCTGCAAAGGATGTAATAAATCCAGTCTTGCATTGGAAGCCAGAGAAATTTGTTTTGCGTGTTTTGCTAATAAAACTACTATGTTCTACCCAGTGCTGAGATTTTTCATTGTCATTGACAGACTTTCGCGCGATATTGACAAAATTGTTCGTCACATAGTCACTGACAGACTTGATCCTCAAAAAAGCCTTCGTCAAAATCTCATTCATTTTTTCGTCAATGACAAAGATTCACCTGATAACAAAAAGTGTAATTTCGTACATTATTGTTATCCAAGTAGTTCAGGTCGTAGATGCTTGTTCATATCAACGGCTCCATGTAATTGTTCAGCTCAAGTCATTTAATTTCGTTACAAATTTAGTTAATATAAAAATCTACACATGTTCGTCACTTACAGCTTTATCATTGACAATTGACATGGTTTGCCTTGACTATGACTATTAACTCAAATGAGTGACCAAAGCAGAATTGTCAATATCACCGTGTGTTGTCGTGATTTTGCAGCACTGGTTCTACCATTTTATAAAAAAAAAAAAACTTCAGCATTTCCCAAGCATGTTCCTGCTCTTATCACACTTGAACTTTATGTTAGAATTCCTTTGAAATTCTAGTAAGGGTTTTCTTGGAATGGTCATTTAAAATGTCCAAATATGGGATCGTGAATATTTAGCAAACACCAACAACTTCAATATTTCTATTTAGTCTCTTTAGCCTTCTCCTGGCCTAACTTTTGTTTGTTTCAAGATTAAACATAAAACCTATGTACAATCGCTCACTTGCCAAATAGCGTCGTTCAGCCTAACGGACTTCGAATGATTTTCATGATTCTGTAACTCAGAAAATTTCTAAAGTTTTATGACATTCGATAGCTTTCAAGATCTTGAACTTATCCAAATTTTGTGGGCTCAGAAAATGTGTTGTATTTGTTTTTTGTATTAATTCATTTGTACAGGCTCAATCGAATAAACTTTACAGAGCCAAGTTATCATTTGCGTTATACATAATTAATGTCTTAAATCTAGAGTTAAAGGAATTGAACCGACTACTGGCGGTCGTCTCGAGTTTAGTAGAGATTTACAGTTTTATGGATGGGGAGCGGGAGAAGTAGGTTTGAGTTATGATTTACGATAAAAATATTTCATTATTCCTAAAATATGAACTTATTCCTGGTATCCACTTGGTATCCGCAGTGTAATTATACAATTATTACAGAAACAAACATTAAAGCCCCACACGAATAAAACAAAAACTAAACACAAGGTTAGTCAAACTTACAATCTAAGGTTAATATTCTTAAAGAAAACATATATAAGTTTCATAAACTCCAGATCGCCTCTGCCCAAAATATCCCAAACTGGAACATTAGGTTGTCTACGCCCGAAGGGAATCGTACAGCTTAAATCTGACTCCGCGATGCTCAGCACAAGACGAAATAATGTGATCTGCGTCCTGGTAACCTTGTCCACATGCACAGAGATTGCTGTCCTCCAGCCCACACACTAATCGAGTCAGTACGGTTTTACTGAGTTTTTGAATTGCGGAACTGTTCGGTAAAAGTTTAAAAATCTGTAGAAAATTTATTAATTAAAAAATTTGTTCTGAACTTGTATATACTTGGTTATGTTAACCCCATTTAATGATAGAAAATACAATTGGTTGATTTCATTGATTCCTTACGGATAACGGTCATTTGAATTTTTACCGACTTTTTCAGCAATTCAAAAACCCAATAAAAAAATACTGACTCCTGTAAAAAAATCTTAGTGTGCAACACGAAACAAGTGAGCGTTTCACGAGTAGTGTGATTGAACATGAGACGAGACATCATACGAATGAAGTCTCGACCCGCATCCAACCCCTTGAACCAAGGACTCTTCAACACCTTAGGGATATAGCCATCGTCCCAAACTCCCCTCGTTCCATTTATTCTGCCAGCTGACGAGTGACTGTTGACGATAAATGAAGAAAAATTCATCGTAGACGATTTGTCGATCGTAAATATCGCCTTCCATAGCGCCCACCTAAGCAAGTGAGTCCACCAGCTTCATAGAGTGAATAGCCTCGAATATGTGTTGTAATTTTGGAGCATATCAATTTCAATAACTTTAATGAACCTATAACTTTTAAGTAAGATTTATAAAGCTAAAATAGGGAAATTTAGGGTGAAGATAAGATAATAAAACCAATGATTTATAATAATATTTTTGTAACTGACTTGGGGCTTTAACCGCCGTTCACGCGTATTGTGTGTGCCATGAAGTAAGGGTTTGATTTCCGGTCCAACTGGTGAAACTTTTCATAAAAAAGAATTTCCTTACTTCTGGGTCTTATCCGCCGTATTCTGAGTTGTCCGTTGTCTAGTGTTATTATGTGTTCAGTATGTGCAACTGACTCGATTCGATCGCTAAAGGAAATTCTCGAACAGCAGAAGTAAGATGAAGATCACATGCCAGAACCACCCCGCTTTAAGCGGCTTCGATACTATTTGTCTTGTAGACGGTGTTCTCCCCACGGTGAGTTTTACTCCCATTCTATGTTTTGTCGTTTTTACGTTTGTAGTCCTAAGATGTCCAGCGAACTGGACATAACAATGCATCGTAGGCGAAATACCTAAGAGGAAGAGAGGCTCAAGGGAGGAGAATGTTAGCCTTTAATCACGAGTTCGGATTGACGGCGATTAAATCGAGATGGTCGACGAGTCCGTGCATTTGTGCTCACTGGTGACCGCCGATAATGACACCAGCAGATAAATTCAAAGACGAATCGTGGCAGGGAATCATGCTTACATTGAACTCCGAAGGAACGGTCGCATAAAATTTCCACCGTACGAAGTTGACTATCTACCAAACACTGACTAGACCGATAGTGTCCTCTACGGTTATGACAATGCTCGTTGGTGTGTTTTCGAACGGGAGGTTTTGCCTATTATCTAATGCATAAACTGAGAACATATGTCCGGAGGTACATAAATAATTGTTAAGATGAAAAGACAGGTCTAAATAAAAAAAAAACTAGCAAAACAAGCCATTACAAATGAATCAAACGTAACAGGTCACGTTGAAGTATGTAGCGCAAGTAGACATGAATTCAGCATCCGAATAAAACAAACACCCACCCTAAAAACAACCAGAAGTCTCATCCTCATTCAATGTTTCTGTGAGGCATACAGACAACGAATAAAACATTCACAAACACACGACAGCTCTTCCCACTAGCTTTATAGTTTGTGTGCAAACTTTCCGACTTATCATGTTCGGGTTTGTCTTCTATACTGGCTCCAATGTTCAGCTTTTCAAATGAAGCTACCTTTCATGTTTTTATTTTAGCTGAATCACGAGGTTTTCATGTTTTATTACGTCCTCACCAATCTCGGCTCGCATGTCGGGCTTGTGTGTAGCACGTGTGCTACAACAAGACCCCGCCCGCCGCCACTGCCTAAGTAGTCGAGGGAGCTTGTTTTGGACAACCACGCTGCTGCTTCTTCGATTGATATCGCAAAGTGTAGCTGTATCATCTGAGCCGTGTCAAATGCGTTTTACAGTGCTTTATTTATTTGCAAAGCGGTTCCTTTTCGTCGATTCTATTTTCTTCAGACAGACAAACAGACAAATAGTGGGCGCTCTGAGCTAGGCCTCCACCACAGTTTAGTTACTGTAGCGTGGTCTGGTAGATATGACTCTATGTATTCTAATGCTTCTTCGACGGGTTTATGGACTTTGAAACGATGCGATGATGTAGGGAAGAAAGTCGCAATAAAGCGGGTAGCAGGCAATACGATAGTGTTTTAGTAGCACACATCACAAGCCGACCGGTTTTTTCAATCCCACGCCACCATATCGGCTTGGTTTCTGAACAAACTCCTCTGAGAAGCGCTTTCTTCGGTGGCAGCGATGTTGATGCGCTGCTGCCGACTGCAGAGTTGCAATGTGATTGACGACCGCGCGTGACGCTTTTACATAGCCATTAAACAGCTGTTTTGATGATATGGACTCTGGCTGTTTTTAATAACCGTGCACTCACGGAATCGTCAGGTCGATACGATCTTGTCGTGACAAATAGTAAGCTACCGGAGATGTTGTT